AAACTTTTTTAATTAATAAATTAACTTTTATTATATATAAATAATTTAATAAGGGCAGTAATGTAATTAAGTAATTTTTATTTTATTTTAATTAACCATAATTATTCTATCACGTTTCCATGTTTTACTCTTGTTAGTTTTCTTCTTCTCCATATCACATGATTATCACGCCCATATCACATGATTATCACACTCATATCACATGATTACACCAAAATTTTAATTTATCAACTAAAACGATAACCCAAGTGATGTAACGGTGATTATCACACCCATATCATATGATTACACCAAAAATTTACCTTATCAACCAAAACGATAACTCAAGTGATGTATAACGGTGATTATCACACCCATATCATATGATTATCACACCCATATCACATGATTACACCAAAATTTTAACTTATCAACCAAAACGATAACCCAAGTGATGTATAATGGTGATTATCACACCCATATMACATGATTATCACACACATATCACATGATTACACCAAAAATTTATCACATGATTATCGTGTAATCGTGTTAAAATATTATATGATATCATTTCCATTATTATTCTTTTAATTTTAATATTTTTTGAATTTTTTTTAAATTTCAATTTTAATTTTAAAAATCTTTTAATTTTATTTTTTATCACAATATAAGGTTATTGGATTGTTCTCGCATTCTCGTAAATCACAGAGGTTCTCGTTTGAACCTTTTCCTATATATATATATATATATATATATATGGGATCGTCTTCTTTTGTTAACCAAACAATTAGTGTTAACTGGGTTTTTTTTTGTCTTTTTATATATTGATACCACATTTCTTAAATATTTCATTTACTTAATTATTTCATTTACTTGATTATTACATTCTTTAATTATCTTATTCAATTAATTATTACATTTTTTAACTAACTTATTCACTCAATTGTTTAACCTATAAATTTCTGATTTCACCTATGAAAATATTTAAACTTTTTTAATTATCTCATTCATTTTCTGGTTTCATCTATGAAGTTTAAATATAAATTATTGTTTTACTTTATGGTTTCACCTATAAACTTTAGATAAAAATCATTGTTTCACTTTTTGGTTCACCTAATGAACTTCGATTATCTTGTTTCACCTATAAAATTTAGATAAAAATAATTGTTTTACTTTTCTTTCACTTATAAACTTTGATAATTGGTTTAACCTATGAACTTTTTGATTTTATCTTTAAACAAAAAACATTCAGATATTATTATTGATTATTTTTTAAAAATAAATATGAATGTCTTCCAAAAATTAAATAACATTATTGATTATCTTCCAAAAATAAAAACAATTTGATCCAAAACTGTTCTTCATTTAATATAAATTTTTTTTATTAGGTTATAACATCTCATGAATCACAATCGTTGATTTACACTGTTAACAAAGTTAATAGTATTTATTTGGTTAACAAATGATTACGTCTATATATATATATATCATTATTATCTTATTTTTGAAGTCTAATTAATACAAAAGTTTTAGATGTAACAAGGTCTGTAAAAAAATTGAAACGTCCCTATTAATACATATAACAAATGCTACTATAATTAACGGTATAATAATTATGGATATTTAAATTTGGTATTATTTTCTTTTATTATTTATATACATAGTTTTTTTCTTAAACATAATTCATTACATATATAGTTCGTCAGTTTTATATGATTTATCGAGTCATAAGAATTAGCATGTCCCGTCTATTTTACAATCTTTATTCAGTTCACATATATATAGATTATAAATCATAACTCCAAGTTAAGTGCATGCATGACCAAGACAATTCATTTTGATATGTAACACAAAGTAATTAAAATATAATTAAGAGTCATTTGAAATAACATGATGATCATCTTTTCATGCATAAATTAACTACTTGTATTATATATACATGTATACACTATATTTTTCCGGTTTTTATTATATGTGTGTGTGGGACTTCAAACAAGAGTATTTCTAAATAATTTACGAAAATACGAGAACACATATATCACATATAATACTATAGTTAACATGTGCTACTATATATATATATATATATATATATCAAAGAGTTGGATGACAATTATTGCAATCTAGGTCACCGTCGAAATCACGTACTTCATTAATCACATGTTATTAACTATAGTATCATATGTGATACAAGTGTTTTTCATAAATTGTGAGCGTTCTCCTTTGAACCTCCTTTACTCTCTCTATATGTATTTGTGAGTATATACATATAGACATAATCAATAGAGAATCTCATATATTATGAAAAATGTGAGTATTTTGTTGTAAGGTATTGTTTCACATGATTTCTTTTCTTTTTAAGACTAGATATTAAAATACTGATTAACCTATAATATTTGTTCATAATGTGTTTGTTTCATATATATTTGGTTTACAATTTGAAACTTTTTATTTATCCTTTTGTTTTACAAACATGTGAAAAATGTTCATATTGTGAATCAAACACATTGTAATACAAATATATATTAATCAGTACTATAAATTTAAGTCGTAGATAAAAAAAATCATTTGAAATAACACATGATGCAGTGGTTGTCAGGGTTCTTTTGAGTTTTCAAATAATTAGCCCCACACACACACACACACACACATATATATATATATATATATATATTATAGGAATTTCTAATCTATAAATTGGTCTTAAATTACCTTCTTTTAATTAACGTATTAATGACGTTGCTTGCTTTTCCCTATGCGCCAGAGGCCTCTTAGGGGATTATTTAATCTAAGGAATACTTCTGGGGCTATCCAAGCCATTAAGGAGTCCACTCAAGCTATTGGATTTGAATCGATGACTTAAGTGCTTGTGTTATTCCTCCCTTAAAAAGGCAAGCAATTGCTTTAAAAAGGCAAGTTGTACCCGCCTTGGTGGCCCGCCCTAAGTCTTACCCATAGCTGACTTCTTTATATACAGACGAATAATTGTATTAGAAGGAGAGTTAATGTGAGAAACCTAAAAAGGATCTAGACCCTTGATCACCTTTAATTAATCTCAAATCACCATGAATTGCCCTTGATACGAGGATTGCTCCAGTCCATCTTGGTGCATCGCATCTTAATGTGCATCTATGAGTGAATATTCATTCTTACGCTTCTCACCTTAACTCTCCTTTCTACCTGAACATAATCATATATATATATATATATGTATATATATATATAATCATATTTAGATGAACATAAGTTAGCTTATTGAAACATTAATTAAAGTAATTTTTATGAGCTTTTTGACACTTTTTTCAAGTCTACTCTCATTAATATTAATTGTTATTATTATTAGTTATAAATTATTAGTTAACATTAATTTCAGTTTATCAATT